TTAAAGTGGCCTCAAGCTGCATTATTTCTGGCATTCTGTAAAGGCCCATAGGCTGTGCACGTGAGATTGCAATTTAAATGTATAATTTTAATTTTGTTAGTTGTTTATGTCCCAACTATTGCATTCAGTGACAGATTTATATACAAATGACTAAGGATCCTGTATAGTGTGGTATGGGAGGGGGTCAATGATGGGGTGACACTATGACTTACTGCACCGGGTGATGCCAACTTTCTGATGCCACTACCCAACACACAGATATTCTGTTGGCTGAGTTTTTCTTATGCATTCAAATTCATGTAAGGAAAAGCTGCCTATGTCAAATCAATCTCTCCTAAGCTGCCATCCAATTCACAGGAACACAACTAATTAAAAGAGGGCAAGTGCCAAAATAACCCTAACACGTAGAACCCCATCACAGAGGTCCACATTTGGAGATCCATCTCCTATTGCCATTGGAGGCTTTTTGCATTCTATTGCTGGAAGTACATTGCCCTCTTCAGGTCATATCATAAATCACCTGGCAGACACGAGTGAATCTTAAACACATATCCCTTTCTGGTACAAATGAGTTTATCCATTAAAGGGGCCACAATTTTTATTGAAAGTAATGAGAATATGAGTTAAAATCTTACCTCATTCAATCAGCTCTTGGTTTTCTGTGTTAACAGAGCTATTTGATCACTTCTCCAACTGCCCTTCTGAATATAGCTGATGGAAAAGTCTTAGGACGGTGTCTTTTGACTGGATCAGTAAATGGAAATGATGGATTAATGATTATATGTGAACACAGGATTACACCTATTGATTTCAGAAAAAAATGATTTTTTGGTTAAGACTCCTGGAGCCAGCTTGGCCAGTGACCATGCTATCTGGGGGATTTGGGGAATTGTAGTTCAAAGGAAAAGACACAGCCAGCCTCACCATTAGGTAGAGTGAGCCCTTCAACACAGATAGCAGATGCTGGAGACAAACCCTTGGAAAGTTACTTTGGACTACAGTTCCCTGAATCCACCATCCAGCATGGTCATGTTCTCAAGCTCTGACTGAACATCTATTCTGCAGCCATTTTGAAGCCATTAGAAACATAAAGACTCAAGTGATGGTTAATGATAACACCGATGGCCTGGAGCCACATTTATTTTCCTTTCCAAAGCCAGTTTACTTTCCTGGCCTGTCAGTATAATTGCAGTTAAGATGATGTCTGTATGCTTTATGTAGAGGTTAAAATACTCACAGGCTAATAAGCTCAATAAATGTTTTCCCTCCAGTGAATCTGAGCATGTGTCAAAGGAAATATATGCTCAGATTTGATGTGAAAATGTGAAAAGCTTTATAGAACACTTGGTTATATGCTTGTTAACACATTGGATATTTTGAGCCTGATGTGCAGTGCACAAGTCACACTCAAGATCACTTAATGTATGATAATTCCCCCTTTAATACATTACTTAACAGGGTGGCTGAAGAGTATTTTTTCACCCAGAAAGGTCATCTTTCCCCTCCCTGCAGAGAAAACATTCAGCATGTTTATGCAGTGATGTGCTGGTAAATATGGAAGAGGAGCTATTTATCATGAGACCTTCTTGTATCATGTTCCCAAGAAGAAACCAAAAATTATAGGAAGCCGTTTTGAGCCATATCAGCAAACCAAACTGAGCCATTTTCATCTCTTCTAAAGGCAGATGTTTTATAATGCTAATAGGTTTTAACTGTCCATTCAAAACAAAGCCAAGACCAATAAAATAAAATAAAATAAAATAAAATAAAAAAAATGCATGGAAAAAATCTCAAGACAATGGATGTTATCACATGGGCAAATCTGCTGGTTGATCCACACAAATCCCAAACAAAAACTGGAT